TTCCTTTCGAACCTGGCAAGGAGCATCTGGTGGTTTCTCGCCGCTGTATCTGTCTTTCGCTCAATTTTGGGACCCACTTCCCGAACTTGAGAATCTTTCCCAACGCCTTCAAGCGTTAGGCACGGTTGGGTCACGCTGAGTTGCTCTGCAAGCATCTTCTGTGTCTGACAAGGGTCTTCTGTAAGCAGCGCTTGCATACTTTTTTGAGGGCCTTCCATTTGGAACTTCTTGAACCACTCAAAACATTGTGTGCGGCATATATAAGCTTCCACAAGCATTTGGTGACCTTCCTCGGCGGTCTTGTGTAAAAAAAAACAGAATAGAAGATTTCCCCGCTGAACCTCACTTGACGGCATGTACCCAGCCATTTTCGGCGGTAATATAAAAATTATCTAAATGCAAAAGTGGCGGCTTTTTGATTGGAACTCGTAGTCGGATTCCTCAACAACAACATATAATAAGTTTCAGCACCGTAAGCAGACCACAGCGATTTTGGCGGGACTTTTAAGAAAAATCCGGTTTCATACTTATACACCTAGTATAACCCAGAATTTCTCGCCCTTGTGTCACCAACCCCTGTTTTTTAATAGCGATTTTAATTTATATGGCATAACAACGTTTCTGGGGTCAGCTAGTAAATATATGAGATTAATATTGTAATTGGTACATATATTATGTCAGTTCTCTATCATCTGTTAATATACATGGTCTCAACCGACAAAATCGTATCTATCCTAGAAGAAATGTTTGGAATCCGCACCCATCGGATGTAAAGCGGTGTCCTAAACCGCTAGACCACCAAGTCACAAATACAAAATAATATAAATGATAATAATAACGGATGCTTTTATGTGCGCGATATTGAAGGGAAATGACTGGCGTTCCGACATATTTGTTAAAAATATTTTATTTGTCATACAAATTGTATAGACGAAAATACCGGCGAGAAACACGAGTGCCGTGAAAGTAAACAACGTAAATTTCAATATGAGCTGGTATCCGCGACTTCACTCACGATTATGCAAAATCCTATTCAATATTCGTGAATATATCGTATAAAAAAACTGACCAAAGAGATGGCTTAAGCAGATGTATTTTTTTTATGGATGATAATGGAATGGTGCACCCGCCTGCGCTAACGGTTTACGCTGGCGGGGCACCAGTGGAAGATGGTAATATGAGTATGAGGTCAGGTCAGTTAGTCCATCGTGATAAATTCACTATGAATTTTCATGATGGTTTCATGGGGAACTACGTGGAGGTCAACCTGATATGGTACATTGCTTGCAATATTACATTACTAACAATCGCCTGAAAGCAGATGTATTTTGCTTAGCAATTTTTGACTTAATATTAGAGGTACCTATAAAATTTTATATGATCTCTCTTCACCATGTAGTATAGACGTGGCATTGTGTTGACGGCATCGGTGGTGTATTGGTTTATCACACCGCTTTACTTTTGATGGTCGCGGGTTTGATTCCTAGAACGATGTAAATATTTGTATTCATGTGTTCCTGGTTTGTATTGTTCTGGGTGTTTTTTTTTATATATGATAATGGAATGTTGCACCCGCCTGCGCTAGCGGTTTACGCTGGCGTCTGGGTGTTTTCTATGTATATTATCAATGTTTTTAAAAAAATGCGTATATTAAGTCTAATTACCATAACACTAGCTTTGCTTAGCTTGGGACTAGATGGCGCTATGTGAATTGTGCACTTTTATTATTATTGTTTGCTGATTAATCCAATCTGATTTTTACAATGGATGGATTAACCAAGAATTAATTTGAAACCAGTAGGCTACGACACTGTTTATAAAGTTGGTTAAAGAAATTATTTAAAGTTTTAATGTAACGACGGTATATTAATAAAAAACGATAAATTCCATAGTCTTACTGCCGTCATAGTTTGTTGCTTCTATATTATCTTTGCTGTAGAATAGAATAGAATAGAAAATCTCTTTATTCAAATAAACTTAATTTAAGCACTTTTTTAGTCATAACATTATTTTTTATTACTGTGTCTGTATACTGTATAGTGTGGTCCTATATTGCCTCGATAAATAACGGTTACTTTTTTGTGGTAAACAAAATATCTACTTATTTAAATAAAAAAAACAGTGTCACGTTGTGATAACTTCCGTGTTATCGTTGTTTAATATACTCATTAATTACATTAATGAACTCGTACTATTTTCATTATTTCGTGATAACATAGCTTAGTATCTGTAATATTTGTAGCTTGACCTTCGTAACCCGGTGGCGAATGAGATAATCGTTATTGTTACACGGAACTCACAGTAAATAATCCGGTAAATGAGAGTTGAACTAACATACCGAGAGTTCCGTAGTAGGCTACGGCTTCGGTGGTCTAGCGGTTTAGCACACTGCCTTATTTCTGAAGATAGCAGGTTCGATTCCTCGAACGATACAGTTATTTGTATTCATGAGTATGGTTGTTTGTATCGGTCTATGTGTTTTCTATGTATATTATTTATGTACGAAAAAAAGGGCAATGAGCTATCTAGCACCCATAACACAAGCTCTGCTTAGATTGGGACTAGATGGCGCTGCGTGAATCGACCTGAGATATTATTAATCCTTATTGACAATGTACTACTAAAGTAAACTTCATGCAACATATCGTCAAGATAACAAGTCTCCAAGTTCGGTCTCTGAGAGTCCACTGCGGTCTGCCGTTATTTAAGCCAGTGCGTGAACCAAGAGATTAAGATGCTATAATATGAATTAGGTTAAGAATCCCTGTACATTTCCGCTACGAGTCGGACGAGTCGGATTATATCCAAAATATACTAATTTGTCACAACTTTTTTTTATTATCCGATCGTCTAATGGGTATTTTTTTTTTCATACCGTTTGGATAAGAACGGAATCCTGAGTATGTGGAATCCCTTAGCATGCTCACTGAGGCATGGAGTAATAAAAAATAACCTTCACGCATAATTAATTTGTTTCAGTACTTGACAAAACAAAAGTTTGACGCAAACAAATTAATGAAAGGAAAAACGTACTCACCTCAGTTTTAAGCTAGCAGTTTGATTTACAAGCTATATACCTTCTTTTACTTAGCAAGTTCTTATGCGAATGGCATTATTTTTATTGTCTATTTATTCTTTTATATTCTCGAAATAGTTTCTATATGATTAGTGTTGTTATTTATATCATATGATCTTACCAATATTATAAACGCTGAAGTTTGTGAGTTTGGGTGGATGTTTGTTACTCTTTGACTATTGAACGGATTTTGATGAAACTTTACAGTAATTAAAAAAAACGGGCTATAAACACGGTTTACTGGCGAGCCACCAGTGGAGGATGATAAGATGAACATGAGGTTAGTTGGCTCATCGTGACAAATTCACCAGGAATTTATCGCTATGGATTCCATAGAGAATCGGGTGGAGCTCAACTTGACATGGTACATTCCTAAAGGGTTATTAAAAAGCACTTTACAAACAAACTCTTTTCCCCCTACCATTTTTTTTTAATTTTAATGGAATGGTGCACTCTTCTACGCTGACGTTTTACGATGGCAAGACACCAGTGGAGGATGATAAAATTGAGCATGAGGTCAGGTCAGTTAGCCCATCGTGGTAAATTCACCAATAATTTATAAAGACGGTTTCCAAGGGGAACCGCTAGGCGGTAAACCTGACATGGTACATTGCTAGCAAAAAGTTCATCAGTACACATTACTAACATGTCCCTTTCCCCAACTAGATCATATTCCGTGGCTCAAGCCAAACAAAAGTTCTGCCCTCCCGTTTATTTATCCAGGTCGAATAGCGATACGGTCGCATGGCAAAAGGTCAGGTCAAATGCATTGTGGGTAATATTCCTGAGTCATATCCAGTGATGTCGTGTTCTGTACCAGACTCGGTCCAAGTGACACGAGCCGAGCTAACTACCATCCTCAGGGACTACTCGCCTTCCAAAGGAAGTTTCTTTGGACGTGTCTACTTTTAGACTGATTTTGAAAAGGAGGCTTATTATATATATGTGAAGTGTTGCGGGTTTTATATACCTTGTTGTTGGTCGAGACGATGTATATTACAGATGATAATAGACTGACAATATATACATAGAAATAATGATCTTATATACTAAATAGCAACAGGAAAATGTAAGGTGGGGTGACACAGTTTAGACACAGCAGTGCTTAGTAGACAATATTGACTTACTAGACATTATTAAATGCAATTATTATTTTGATGTAACTGTGTCCCATATGAAGCAAAAACTTCGTACCCTCTTTTAAGAAAATGAAGCGAACGGAGGAATATGAAATAACGCACATTTATCCTTACTTATTATATAAATAATAAAAATGTATCTAAGTACAGTCGTCTAGTAATCTTAACACAAGCTCTGCTTACCGTGGGACTATATAGCGTTGAGTTAATTATCCAGGGTTTATATAGTAATAATAAATTTTCCTAATCAATTAACTTGACCAGTATATCTGTTTGTGATTGATTTGTACCATCCAATAAACGTGATGAGCGTTTTGTTCATAGAGAAATGAAAGGAATGTGTGCTTACTAAAGAAACTTCACTCCCTATCCAATAGACTCGCGACGTCTGTTTTTAGAAAACAAATTTCAATTCTAGAGGTTTTGACACCGCCTTACTTCCGATGGTCGCGGGTTGGAATCATCGCACCGTATAGACGTTTGTATTCCTGAGTATGGTTGTTTGTATCGGTCTCGGTGTTTTTTATTTTAAATTCAAAAGTCATTTTAGCCGCTTGTTAACGTCATATTTTTTATATTATAATTTTTCCTATCGTTCAATTCAGTATACAGATTATGTATACTATGTATTTGCAAAAATCTATCTAATAATATAAAAATGTATCTATAATCAGTTGTCTAGTAGCCATAACACAAGCTTTGCTTAGATTGGGGCTAGATGGCGCTGTGTTAATTCTCTTGGGTTATTATTATCATTATAAACAGATAAATTATTTCTTTTACAGAAAAGAAAAATGGTGGGCGATTCAACTTCGACCCAAGTCCTCAGGGATTTGGAGATATCATTACGAACTAATCACATAGAGTGAGTATAAACATGTCTAAACGTTTAGCAACTAAAAAACTATGTCGCTACGAAGTCACTGGGTCAGCTAGATTTTAATAATTAAGAATTGTGACAGGCGGTGCCCTCAGTCATCTGACCGAATTGGATCCGGATATAATTTATTAATGATGTTAAAAATAATTTAATTTTAGTAAATCAAATGATGTTAAAAATAATTTAATTTTAATAAATCAAATCATGTAGGTCTATTAAAGACACTTATGATATGTCAAACCTACCTTCAGTTACGGCAAGCGCTTTTAAGCTAAATACTGACAAGAAATACGGTTTTTTTTATTTTTTATTAGTCCAATTAGTTTATAAATAAAAAAACATGTCGCTACGAAGTTACTGGGTCATCTGACCGATTTGGGATCGGGATGTTTTAGACCACGATGCTCTATATTTCGCTAATTGAATAATATCAATTACAGATGGGTCCGTGAATTCCTCAACGAACAGAACCAAGGGCTGGACGTGCTGATCGACTACCTGAGCTTCAGGTTGAGTATGATGCGGCACGAGCAGAGGATCGCGTTGATAAGGAGTCAGTCCAGTGATGGTATCAACCAAGGTAATGTCTCAATTAAAGTAACATCTGTAATAATGAGATTCCCTAGCACAGCATTTCCGACCTATAAAATAATGTAATTGTCCAAAAAAAAATATTGTTTGTTATTTGATAAAAGAATTAAACCATACAGAAACAAATAAATTAATAGATTTTCTTGCTCTAACGTTCTTGCTTTGACCTTCTTGCTTGACCGAATTTGCTATTTAAGGGTACACTTTTGTCTCACATATTTCTGCCGTCACGCGAGAAATGAACCCAGGAAAGTAAATAAAGGTAAAGAAAGAAAACTAAAAGAACCGCGCGGGCCGCTAGCTTGTGCATTCCAGCAAGTTTGTCTATGTCAAACTGAAGAGGAAACGTCGTCGTCAAAGCATTTTATGTGGTTGAAGCCCACTCATGCATAAATGTAATATCTTCTACTTTGGAAAATTCACATTCTATCCTAAGGAGATAAAAAACTATCGCTCCTAAGAATATCCTTCAATTCTTGCCCCTTAAGGGTTTAGGTAACGAACTCTGTAAAAGGGCGAGCACAATAGATCTACGTAGGTCGCAGTGCTACAGGTCCAAGCACGTGACAATAGCCCAAAACCCCCAATAAAATAAATAAAAAGTTTGTCTTTAATTTATATCTTATTTTTAATATTATAAACGCGAAAGTTTGTGATTAAGCATGGACGTTTGTTACTCAAAAACTATTGAACGTATTTTGATGAAACTTTACAGTAATATAGCTTATACATCAGAATAATACATGGGCTATAAATTTAACGCGGGTGAAACCGCGGGTACAGCTAGTTTAAATATATGTTTAACATTATTAAACCACCCAATCAATATATAGCAATCGAAATGCATAAATATATAAATCGCGAAAGCAACGTTGGTAAAGGCTGGTACTGATTGAGCAGCGAACACGACGACGTCGGAGTGCAGCGCGGGAGGTGGTGCGGAGGGCGCGGCGTCGCTGCCGGCGGCGTGGCGGCGCCGCGCGCGCTCCTCGGACGCGGAGAGCGAGCCCGCCAGCCCGGCCGCGGCGCGGCGCCGCACCCGGCACGCGGCCCGCCTCAACATGGGCGCCTCCACCGACGACATACACGTCTGCATCATGTGCATGCGCGCCATTATGAACAACAAGGTACGCACGCGCCCCCACCGCTGCTAATATACTTACACATATACGCATACCTAACTTGAAATTCTGTATTTTATTCCAATGTTAATGGATCTGACAGCATGAGATTTGATAGTATTTGGAAGAGTGAGTGGCTTTAACGTACCTACATTGAATTTTCTCAACCGCTGTTGTAATTTTCTATAGTAAATGACAAAACATATAAACGTAAATAAATTCAAACTTAAGTGAATGCCAATATTCAAATTTGTAAAACGACTTAAATATATAATTTGCTTATAAATATTTCAAATAAAAACATAAATTACTACCACACACACTACCATTTACACAGGCCCCTCTTCCTCACTGGGCACACTGGCAATGTGCCCAGGGCCCCGCGATGGATTGGGGCCCCCTAGTCTAGTCTAGTCCTTACTCCATTACGAAACGATAACCAATAGATACATTACTCTCGCCTGAAAATCAGTTTAAAAAAATGCTTTCCGACTATGGTCAATTTGTTCGTTTTTATATTTTTTTTTATAAATGTCTAACAAGAACTTGAACCTTATCACATAACGACTTTTAAAATTAATTTTGGTTGTTTTGAAGATAGGGCATCCCCATATATATCTCTAAAAAGTAATGTTAAAAAATGACTGTATATTCTATATAACAAAATAGTGCTCCATTATCCTAATGTGCCCAGGGCCTCTAATAGGTGAAAGACGGCCCTGCATTTACACTAACGCTATCACTACGTGCGATTCCGCCGAACGTCTATCATCGTCTTTTCACAAATATCCTACGTTTCCAGTACGGCTTCAACATGGTGATCCAACATAGAGAAGCTATCAACAGTATAGCCCTCTCGCTCGTACACCACTCGCTGCGGACGAAGGCGCTGGTATTGGAACTGCTCGCGGCAATATGCTTGGTGAAAGGTGGACACCAGATCATACTGTCGGCGTTCGACAACTTCAAGGAAGTGATTGGAGAGCCTAGAAGGTTCCACACACTGATGGAGTACTTCATGAATTATGACACGTTTCACATAGAATTTATGGTAAGTTTTAGTTGCTTCTGCTGCCCCATAAGTTCTTCCACGAGTTTGGAGCGCCCCTATCGTGCAGTGAAGCTGTAAAGGCCAGCTGCGACCAACAGCATTAGAATAGTTCGGAAAAAACCATACAGGTCATATTATCCGCGAAAATAATACATATTTTGTGGTTTAAATTTTCAGGTGGCGTGTATGCAATTCGTGAACATAATAGTGCATTCAGTGGAGGATATGAACTTCAGGGTGCATCTGCAGTACGAGTTTACAACGCTGAAGCTCGACGATTACTTAGAAAGACTGCGGCTGTGCGAGAGTGAAGACCTGCAGGTAATATTGGTTTCTATCTAAAGGAATGTAACAACAAAAAGAGATTTTATTATGGATAATAATGGAATGGTGCCTACGCTAACGGTTTATGCTGTAGTGTGTAGGATAATAATATGAGCATGAGATCAAGTCAGTTAGCCAATCGTGGTAAATTCACCTTGAATTTATCACAATGGTTTTCAGGGGGAAGCACGTGTGGATATAGTAAATTTTTAGCAATGGAATTATTAATAATCCTTTTTCCCCAGAGGAGATATGTCATTATTTGTTCGTCCATACATACTAATATTTGTAAAGAGAAAACATTTTATTTCGTGTATATTAATTTGTTTTTTTTATAATGGTTAAAACTGAAAAAACTTGTAGTATATAAATCTGTATATTACAAGTTTTTTCATATATCTTCAATGAACTGATATAAAATACTAAAATTTTTATCTTATTTGACGTGACGATTTACAACTTTACACGTATGTATTACAGTCAATTTTTAAACAAAATTTGTGTATTCGTTAAGGTGCAAATCTCAGCATACCTGGACAATGTGTTCGATGTAGCGGCTCTGATGGAAGACAGCGAGACCAAGACTGCAGCGTTGGAGAAAGTCAACGAACTAGAAGATGAGTTGGGCCATGTATGTAGTAACTATTTTATACTGCCTGATTTATATTTGCACATATATGGTGACACAGTTTACAGCGCTTAGTGGACACTACATATTTATAGTACTTAGGTATCTGTAATAATAATAATACCCCTGAACAATTTACACAATTTCTCTGCTTAAACAAATTAAACTACATCTAATCCCAAGGACTAGATACGGTTAAATTGGTTTAAGCAGAGCTTGTGTTATGGGTACTAGACAACCGATATAAATACTTAGTTTTGTATTTAAATAATATACATAGAAAACACTCAGACCGATACAAACAATCATAATCTTATGATTATGATTGTTTGTATCGGTCTGAGTGAGGGTTTGTAACGTTTGTATTATATACAAACGTTACAAACCCTGCGAGATGTAAAGCGGTGTGCGCTGGATCACCGAGGCCGTCAAAACTGTGTCCTATAGAATACTTATTATATATATTATTTGAGGATAGAAATATTGTATTATTTATTATAAATACACATATCTGGGTGTGCGTGTTGGTTGGCGGCGCGGTTTTACATCTGCGTGTTAATATATTGCAGGCGCACGAGCGACTGACGGCGTTAGAGCGTGAGGCGATTGCGAAGCTGGCCACGCTCGAGTCGGAGCTGGCGCACGCGCGGCTGGAGCGGGATCAGCTAGCGGAGGCGCGGCGACAGGTCGTCGAAGAGGTACGTCCACCATCACCACACTAAAATATACCTAAACGCTATTGATATAAAGTTCCATTTTGTTTAAAATTGCGGAGGTCACCTCCACACTATACTCCCTACTAAAACACACTTGAGCGCTATAGATGTAAAGTGCAATTTTGTCTGACTGTAGAAGTAACTGCTTGTGGTACACTGATATTGCATACAAAAAGTGACCGAAGGCTCTTATTTATAAAGGACAATTTTGTCTAAAATGCCTATAGGCCTCTTACCTAGACAAATTGAATAACTTTACTATAAGTATATTAGGTACTTTCATAGTTTTAGCCCACCGTTTAGAGTAAACTTATTTTGTATATAATTTTCATATGCTGATGAAACTAATATACAGGAAACAATTTTTTATTTGGAAATAGAAAGTATATGTTTGTTTTTCAGGTGTCAACATTGCGTCGCGCGCAACAGGATTCCAGGAATCGACAATCAATGTTGGAGTCCAAGGTGCAGGAGTTGGAATCTCTCACAAAATCATTGCCCAGAGGGGCTTCCAGTGAGTATTATATATCGTAATTTGTATTAATTGTGTTTATTTATTATCCTTACAAAGATCTTAAAATTCTCAGGGCAATATCTTAATTATAAGTATTCTCGGAGTAATGATTAAATTATAAAAGTGTTCTCACGGTAATAAGTGAATGATACTGGATGGAATTATCTGAAAATTATTGCTGATATTGACTATTCTCGTATGTTTTTTAAAGTTTATGTTGTAATCGGAGGTAAAATTATATAGATACTTATTTGTTTGCTACAAATTCCAACAGTGGGTGCTATATCGGTTCACGCACTGTGCAACGGAACAACCAACGGGCCCGCGCACGTGCACACCAACGGACACGCGACACTGCCCAACGGCGGCGCGGCCCCGTCCCCCGCCCCCGCGCCGCCGCCCCCGCCGCCGCCCGCGCCCCCCGCCGCCGCCGCCGCCGCGCCCGCGCCGCCCCCCGCGCCCGCGCCGCCGCCGCCGCCGCCGCCCTCGCTGTCCGCGCCCCCGCCGCCCGCGCCCCCCGCGCCCGGCCTCATGCCGCCGCCGCACCAGCACGACGCCATGACCATCAAGCGGAAGGTCGACACCAAGTACAAGCTGCCCACGCTCAACTGGATCGCGCTCAAACCCAACCAAGTAAGTGACTCAAATAGTAATAGTAAATCGACCGTAAAAATAGTAGTTTCTCGACAAAACCTCGGTAGGTAGTTCATTCAACAATCTAAGTGTACTCGGAAGGAAGCTCTTCTGAATCCGCAGCGATGCAGTCTCGAGTCTTGATGCTAAGTGGTTCGATTGGGATCATTGAAAACATAGTGCTAAAATAAATCTGTGAAATAGCGTTAATATATCATTTGCGTTCCAGGTGCGAGGCACGATCTTCAACGAGCTGGACGAGGAGCGTCCCCGGCGGCGTATCAACTTCGCAGAGTTCGAGCAGAAGTTCCGCATCGGAGGTGTGGGCGGTGCGGGGGGCGCGGGGGGAGCGGCCGCAGCCGGAAATTGTGACGACACGCTCGCGTCCTTCCCTAGCAAGCGCTTCCGCAAGCCTGACACCGTCTCTCTGCTTGAGCATACGCGTCTTAGGAATATAGGTTTGAATTTAGAACTATATTTTTCCATTCGATTCCATTCCATTTTATTTTCGAATTAGATAGGTTTGAATGTAGAACTAAATATATGTTTACATTACATTCGATTTTCAAATTTCGAATCTGGTAACTCAAATGATTGGTTGAAATATGAAGACAGTTAAAGGTTTCTAGACTAATCTGCCTGCATGCTCTATTTTTGAATTCAGAATTATTTTTATTACTTCTTATTACTCTGACTATTTAATCTAATTCTTTTGAGGAAGATATTTTGAATTTGGAACATAGATTTTATTATATGTACATACAAATTTTGGCAATCCCATTTCTATTGCTCTTTTTCTTTTCTTAACAGACTTTTTTTTGCAATAAAGGTTTCTACTCTCTTGTCGTAAGTAATCAAGTATATTAGTACCTAATAGTATAAACTTGGCATATTTGAGGACTATATGGCTTTGTCTTATAACAATAACTATAGGTTTTTATATACTTTGTCTGTGTTTTATATAAATTCTATTCATATTTTACAGCAATATCAAGAAGAAAATTAGACACACCAGTGGAGAAGGTCATCGCAGCAATCAACAACTTGGATCTGAAACAGTTACCACTAGAAAGCGTCGAGATCCTTCAACGCATGGTACCAACGGAGGCCGAGCAAAAAGCATACAAAGAATATGTGGCAGAGAAAAAGAACATCAACCAATTAACGGAAGAAGATAAATTCCTCATGCAATTAGCCAAAGTTGAAAGGATATCAGCCAAGTTATCGATAATGAACTATATGGGCAACTTCTTCGACAATATCCACTTAATCACTCCTCAAGTACACGCGATAATCTCCGGTTCCTCATCAGTCAAATCCTCGCAGAAGTTGAGGAATGTTCTAGAAATCATTCTCGCATTCGGCAACTACCTGAATAGCAGTAAACGGGGTCCCGCGTACGGATTCAAACTCCAGTCTCTGGATACGTTAATGGATACGAAATCGACGGATAAAAGGATATCATTGCTGCATTATATCGTGGCCACGATTAGACAAAACTTCCCCGAGCTGATGAACTTTGATACGGAGCTGTTGTACATAGACAAAGCGGCGCAAGGTATTGTTGGTTTTTGTTTATTATAATTCATTTACACCTAAAGAAGATCATATTAAGTTGTCTACCAATTATACCCATTAAATAGCTTGCTTTCGAAATGGTTCTTGGTGTTAAAAGTGATATGGTACTAAAATTACAGGTATAGAGGCCCAACACATAAGAGTTAGCATATGTAATGTATTCTGTGTTTTCCGTACCAACAACTATAAATACCAACTGCCAAATATTGTAAATGATAGGAGACATAGCAACTTAATAAGATCAGGTATATAGCAGACATTAACTATCATCGTACCCTGGTTATCTTGTTCAACATTCTAATTAAGGAAACGTGTAAGTTGACGACTATAGTTGAGCGGTATGACTGTCTTGCAGTGTCCCTGGAAAACGTGGTGGCCGACGTGAGCGAGCTGGAGCGCGGCATGGAGGCCTGCAGACGAGAGAGCGAGCAGCGACTCGCGCACCAGGCGCACGCCCACCTGCTGCGGGACTTCGTGAACAACGCCGCCGACAAGCTGCGCCGCACACGGCAGGAGACCAAGCACGCGCAGGTATGAACGGCGGTAAGCTGCACGCGCCAGGAGTCAAGCTAGCACAGGAACTAGCAGCGGCAAGCTGCACTCGCCAGTAGTCCAACAGGTACGAGCAGCAACCATACCAGGCGGGAGATGAGCACGCGCAGGTATGAGCAGTGGCTGCACCAGGCACACGTGTCGAGACTTCATGTCGCAACTTCCTGTTGCATTCTGCTGTGACCACGGCAATGTACCTGTGCCGCTTATACTACGCCACCAAGGAACAGGACATTGTCGACTACATATGGACCAGGAGGAACTTGATATTGAAGGTGACGCAATTGAATTCTAGTTTCAAGCTGTTAGTGGCCCAGCTTCCCATCAACATGTTTACCATTTTTGTGAAGAAAAACTACTGGTCGAAGAGGGTCGTGATGGTCTAGGACAGTGGGTTCTTTCTGCCTAAACTATGAGTGATCTGGCGTGAAGTATGTTTTCAATTTAGCAAAACCTTTATGTTTCCAGGACTCGTTCGCAGCCTGCGTAGAATACTTCGGCGAGGCGCCGCGAGGATGTGACGCCAACGCTTTCTTCTCGCTGCTCGTACGGTTTACGAGGGCGTTTAAGGTAAAACGAACTTTAATGAATGACATTTAATGTACTAAAGTACAATAAATATTAAAGTAGTAGTATTAGTATAAACTTTCTTATTGTATTACGATTTAAACGTATTTTTTTTTCCAATAATTAAAATACTTTATTGGTTGATAAAAAAAGTCATTTTTTAACTAAAAACTGAATTTTAACATGTACTAACTACCCGTCCCGGCTTCACAAAGTTGTACATGTAATGTACATATAAACTTTCCTCTTAAATCACTTTATCCATTGATAAAAAAATAATTGAAATCCGTTGCATGGTCTAAGAAATCTAAGCGAACAGACAACGGCGTCTTTATTTTATACAATGTTCCTTACATTGTATAAAATAATACTAAATAATTACATTGTATAAATTCTCGTGTCACAGTTTTCGTTCCCATACTCCTCCGAACGGCTTGACCGATTCTCATGAAATTTTGTGAGCGTATTGAGTAGGTCTGAGAATCTGCCAACATCTATTTTTCATTCCCCTAAATGTTAGGGGTATCCACCCCTAATTTTTTTTTTTAAGGCAATACAACGTTTGCCGGGACAGCTAGTATTCTATAAATATATGTTGTAATTGCTTGTTTTTTTTAATTAATATCCAGCAAGCAGACGCAGAGAACGAGCAACGCCGGCGGCTCGAGCAGGCGGCACAACAAGCCGACGCTATAGACCCCGATAAGGCCAAGCTCATGCAGAAGAAACAACAGGTATTTTTCAATTATGCATTCTGATTATGATGACATTAACGTAAGGACCGACATCGTATGACCTGTAACTAACCCGTCCGGAAACATTCTTGTTAAGGCGAAGCTAATTTATTGATATAGTGTATAAAACGGACCTGATTATGTATTTGTTAATATAAATAGATTTTTTTTATTAATTTTAGTCTCACAGACTCTTATGACATGTCATTTCTACCGTATTTCCGAGCGACGAACTGAAAAGAAACTCGGTTCTTTTTGTTTTTAAATAATTAAATAAATCAGAGAGAAATAGTGACCACCACAGTATATGATATTGGATTTCTGTCAAATGGAAATAATTTAATTAATAGCCAAATCCCGAATAGACCAGATTATATAGGAGTAAGGAGAATTATAAGCTAAGCGATTCTGTAGTTTTAGTTGCGTTCACAAATGGTTATTACATGTCAAAATTTCAGATTTAATTGAATACAAGCAACCATTATAATAGACATTGACTTAACTAGCTTAAGATCGCCCCGCCATCTTTACAAATTTTATAAATGAATACGAGTATATGATTAGTTTCGCCTTAACAAGTTCTAAAACAATATAATTATTTTCATAGGTTATGCCCATTGATGTTTTTTTAATTTTGTACAAATGTTAAAATCAGTGTTGCATTATCAGAAAAATGTTTAGCCGTCCGCTCGGTGTATAACGCTTCGATGGTGAATGGAGTACAGTTTTAGTAGATTTGTTGCATTATTTTTCTGTAGCCAGTGGCTCGAGACTTGAAGACTGAACTACGTACTTACAATTTCTACTAATTTTATTTTTCATAAACATATTGAGTTTCAATGCCTTTTTATTAACTAATAATATATTAAACTCAATATTTTGCAAATACATTTTAAATATATAATTAACTGAATAGAATGAAATAGTATTAAATTCTACCATAAATCAGAATTTTATTAATAATGGTAACACTACTTCAGTAAATCACACAACTCACGCTCAACTAATTATTAGTTAACGTCAAGGCAATGAACTCAATACAATTGATACAATTTTTATATTTCACTCACAAACCGTTATTTTGCAGTGATCACAGATATTGGTTTGCTTTCGTATGACAAGTCGAGTGAAAATTTTCTTTTACTATAAATATTTTATAGTATTTTAATTATCACAAGAGAATTTACATTATTTATATTTCATCATTATATTTAAATTGGCATAATTTGGTGATGGTAATTAATTGTTTATGAATGTGGCAACTTTTAGTGTTACAGAATTTTAAAAAGCTTGATATGTTTCTTAACAATCAATGAGCTGTTAAAAAAAAACATTTTTGAATTTAGAATTACATTCCAATCTATTTCTTAAGTTTTTAATTCATAATTTTTAATATTTGAATGCAAGTCTTGTTGAGCTCGTTTTACCATATTTAATCTGCAGTGTTGCCATATCCATAACACAAATTATACTGTAGAGGTGATGGTAATACGGTAAAATTTCTCACAGAGGTTTAACTACGCGGCCGTCAGCGCTGGCCTTTTGCAGCAACACTTGTCTCAGTTGAGGCACAGTTAAGACCCAGTCTAGACCAATACTAGGTCTCGGCCTAACACGACTAGGAGTAAGTCGTCAATTGTTAAAAGGGGCCTATACACTGTGTGCGTGTGTTGTACTAACAAGGTTATATGCGAACGGGTGACTCGAGACAGACTTGTAATCGATATTAAAACATATTGCTAGTAATTTTCTTTTAATATGATTGTGGTAATAAGTTTGTTTTAATATCAATATGATTTACAAGTGCCTTTAATTAGTGTATATAACAAATGACGCCCAATATTTTGCGATAGACTATTATTACTAATTAGCTGATCTGCATTGGTATTCTGTAAGCGTTTTATCAACTCATTTCACTCAAGGCTCTCATATCCATTTGCAAATATAAAGTTCCTACTGAGCTATCGAGTTTGCCTATATTTCTAAAAAAACCAGTAGTGCCTGTTTTACCTCCATCCCGCTCCCGAGCGTGTGGCGCTGCAGTCGCTATCGAGTTTTACACAATACCAATGTACCTGATACATAAGTTGTTCCGCCTTATTGAAAATTCAATTCAAAGTATATGAATAAACAGCTGAGCCCGAGGTTTAACCCGCTTTAAAATTTATAGCCTATGTGTTATTCTGATGTATAAGCTATATTACTGTAAAGTTTCATCAAAATTCGTTAGTAGTTTTTGCGAGAAATTGCGAAAGCAATAAACATCCATCAATCCATATACACAAATTTTCGCGTTTATAATCATAGTACGATGATTCGTGTAGGTTTATTACAGACACTCATTATATGTCGAATATAATCTACTGGTAGTTCAGAATTTAATTTCGAGCCAAAGAAAACTGATAACTAATTCCGATTTTGTTTTGTTTCTCTCAAATAAGCTTGTACATGATTACAATTGCATTTTTGGCAAAAACAAAAAAAAGTATTTTAATAAGCAGCCATAACCCGAACGTACGAGACTCCACAAGCAGCGCCCATTTTCGAGTATCTTCTAATTTTCTAGTTTTTGTTCTCTAAGAACCTACGACTTGTTCTGAAAGTGATGAAGGAAGTGTATGTGAATTCTATGTGTACACCTTTACTAACACTGGTTCTTGTAACTAACACCTATAAGTGTAGTCACTTCCCCTTTAGTATTAAAGCAAATTTGGCGCGTCATATATACATTAATTAAATGAGGGCTTGAGTGAGTGTTTAACTGGGGTTTACACGTGTTACCCGTAGGATGGCATGTTGTGGTATTGGTCACATAAAGTGAGAGGACTATATGGTCGATATACTACCTACAGCTGAATAACAACACGCGTTTCAGGCATGCCACACAATTCACTAGCATCCTACCTTCTAATTGGTCGAAATATTTGAGAATGGTATATTGTGCCCTAAATTATACGAATTGTAGTTCATTTTACTGTGACAGAGTATAAGATGTAGTTATTCCATGGCACTACCAGAGCATGTGATTTTGAGTGCGTAGCAGGTACTATGGCCCGATAATGAATTTAGGATACAAATTATCACAATCCTAAGCATATTAAAATACACGACCCGACTTTTAGGTTTAATTTTAAATTGTTCAAGTAGTAAATTTATAAACGATGTATTCTAAATATTAGTCATTTATGAAGTATTAAAAATGTGTGTAAATATTACAAATATATATCTGTATTTGTGTAAACCATTATACATATTCAATTATACAATATTTATATATTATATAATAAGTATATATATTTCTTTCAACGCTGCACTTGCATGGATATCAGGGAATGTGTTTAATTATATAATACAGTTTATTCGCTTGCATCATACTCTGTAAGCATGTTTTTTTTTTACAATTTGTTAGTGTTTTCTATAGCTTAGTTATTATTCTGTGTAATATTTCCGCATTCGAAAATGTGATTTATTGTATTGAGTTAGAACTACATTTCGTAGGTTAGTTGTATAAAATTCTTGAATTTTATATAATAAGCCCTCATTATATATTTCCTTCTCTATGTTAATTTATTATATACGTTGATGTAGTAATTTCATTCTTTGCTAACTCAAATATGACTCGCTAATTAATATAATATATTATTTACTTATAATGTGTTCAATGTGTTACATGAATATGCTTACAGGCTTTTATGTTTGTTGTATGTGTAATAGTAATTACGAAAGTTTCTCATATTAATAATGCATGGTTTAATATACAAATGAGTATCTATTAAATAATGTAGTACGCGACAGATCGAAATGGTGATTATACTCATACATTATATAATTTTCTCTCCTCTCCAATCGATCCCTTCAATTTAAACAGACATTGAAATTATTACAGCCTGAGCCGAGAATCGAAACCAAAGCGGTGCCCTCATACTAAAGTCGTATCGGTCAGGCATGTTGATCTTCAGCCGCTCTATAAGCTCTCCGGCTAGTTTGGAGTGCCACCTGCACTCGCTCGCTATCATTCGCTGAAGCTGTAAAGGCCAGCTGCGGCCGACAGCATTAGACTAGTTCGAAAATAAATCTCCCACGCCAATTCCTGCTGCTTGCATTGTACGCATCGCACGATATATAAATTGTACTGTGAATAGCTTAATAATCAATATATATTATATTTTTCATTATTGATATTGAAATTATTCATGGTTAATATTATTTGCTATAAACTATATGCCGTATTAAATAAGTAAAAATGATTTTTAGGTACATTTAATAATTGCTATAAATATAGTCATAGATAAAATTAATGGATGGTATATATGACTATATAATAATAATAATAATATAATAATAAGCCACGACAACCCAAACAATGTCATCTAGTCCCAAGTTAAGCAGAGCTTTTGTTATGGACTAGAGGACTAGACAATTGATACAAAAATTTAAATACATTTTTTTTTGTAAATATAAATCCAATAAGAACATATTAATCCAAAAATTACATTATAAATTATATTTTTAAATTTAAAAATATAGATGTTCCAAAGATAGATTAAATATCGATAAATACTATACTGTACATTATAGCTTCCCCATTACTAGAAAAATATACTTTAATAAAATTGGACGCGATAACTATTTACACGTAATATTAAAGAAACAGGAAAATTATGTATTTTATATATATTTTACCACGTTTTATTCATATTGAGTTTGAATACGAATAAAACATAATAAGATATCATTAATTCTATAAGACTAGAAAAATCCCCAATCGATCTGTCGCAATCAATAACTACATTAGTATTACCAAAAGCACATGTGAAACCTTATTTGCGTACTTATAAATACTTAATAATTCCAGGATGCTGTAATCAACGAACTAAAAACGAAATCACAGGCCGTCGGCGAGAAGAAGCTTCTCCACCAAGACGAGGTTTACAACGGGGCGCTCGAGGACATTCTCCACGGGTTGCGATCCGAGCCGTACCGGCGCGCTGACGCCGTCCGGCGGTCGCACCGGCGCCGGATCAACTCCCACCGGCTGTCCAAAGGGCTCGAGGAGCTCGATGTATGATACGAACTGGAATCCAGTCACGCACTGGACCACTCGACCGTACAGAACGCCGTCAACTCGATAAACGCGAGGTGTGCCACCGATATTGATAAGAAAAAACGACGGAAAGACTTAGAAATGGTGCACAAAAAACAGCCCATAGCTGTATACAATATAGATGAGAAGGTTCTAGATTATTCTATGGACACGCATCAGGGGAGTAATGTGAGACACAAGTCGTCGTACAGAGTGGCGCCGGCAGAATGCGATGTGGAGGAGCGCTGCGAACTGATCAAGTCCACATACGATGTGATTACGAAGTATACGCGCGCCATGTTTGATAGTAAGAACGAAACCGTCGTGTGAGCGATGTGCCTACATTTCTTGTTTTGGACGTATATTGCACTTGTTTTTGGATGTTAAAATACCTTTATTTATTAATAAACTGCCCGATTTCTGGGTTATGTATATCTATATATAATATGAAGCTAATATCCTTATGGAATAAAGTACATTAAATGGTAAAGGAATTATTCGTATAGGTGCAAGAACAACCACTGATTTAAGATACACAAACTAATAAACCGCTCTGTCAATATCGCTATCACTAAATTATTAAAAAAATTAAGGTTGTTACAAGGTTGCTACTGGGTGCTGTGTAAATTATTAACTTCTTGCCATTATAACATGAGCTTTATTCAAAGGCAATAGAGTGCAATATACGCAATAACAACTTTCGATATGCCTACAAAATCATTCCACGCAACGTGCATCAGTATTTTGCTACTAACAATTTACAAATATTTTTATTTCTATACAAAAAGCTTAGCTTTTAATGTCTTTCGTGGCCCATAGCTGATCAGTTTTAGTTCGGTCTCTCTCTTACATTGGACGGTAGAAAGAGATAGAGCGAGCTATAGGCGTTTCAGTAGCGCTAGATACGGCCTTTGACAACGCCCAGTTTTCTACACACTTTTTCAAAATACCATTGTAATTTTTTACGTGTAATTATATAGATATAAAATTAAACAGTGTCCTTAATATTAATATAATGAATATTATACACAATAATTATATGAACCAAAATATAATGGGGTTTTCATGTAAACATTTTATTATATAAATTATATGCATTTATACATTTTTAGCGTTTTATATTTACCAATATTTGTGATAGTTCAAAATGGTTCTCTCTATATTTGCATTTTTACAATTTCGCATTTTTTTAGCGATGTATCATGACAGTATAAATAGTTATTTAATTCATATAGAGTATGATTCCACTATTAATAAGTTCGTTATTATTCGAATTTCATTCATTTTAATTCATTCATTCAGGTCACAATATAACCGCGAGTTATTTTGTGACGATCATTCATTCAACGATGTTCGAATCTCTATTAGTTATTATATTATTTGTAAATATTATAATTTGCCTAACGTATTTGTAACAGTACCAATTATATAATAAAACTGAACTTATATTTGTAAATATAGTATTTTTATATGATCAACTCAAGTTGCTTGAGACGATAGGCCCGTTTGTATGTTTTCAATATCTATATATAGATACGGAATTGATACTGTTACAAACATTTTTAAATAAATACGATTAATATAAATGGATTGATATGTAATATATTTGATACATAAATAAAATAAACGGTAAACTGCCACTCACTGTAATGTCAACGTGATGTACGACTATAATTAGAAAAAGAAATTTATACACAATTGATTCATAATTACTACAAAAAGTTTTTATGTGATATTATTCATATTTAATGATATATATAAAAACTTTGATAGATAGATGATAATGTAGAATTGAAAGAGATCTTGGTGTGGACTTCATGTGTTACTGGTTTGCGATGTCGGGAGGCCAGTTTATTTCACATATATTCATGTACTAGCCATTTAAGCCACTTTAACTACTTATAGTTGGGGCTCAATTCGGTTCATTCTTAAAACGTCAGTGTACACGAATCTCCAAATTAAATGATGTAGCAATGAACGAATGAAATGATAATATTAAATGTGAGTCAACTCAAGGTAGGAAATCTAGATGTCTAAGATTTTCTAAATTTAGAGAATATCGTTTTAGAATCGGTCTCAGTATGTGAAATCACGTTGACATAACTGTGAACTTATTTAAGTATAAATGTCGGTGCTTACACGCACAACTCGAAATATTCCAGTTATCAAGCGCAGTAATTTTTTTATACTAATTTCAGTATAATACTTTCCAGCCGCGAGTACTTAGGAAATGTTTCTTTTTAATTATCGTTAATTTGTCTCAAACAATCTCGCGCAAAGTATAATCGGTTAAACGAAATAAAAGAATAAACGTCCTGTGAATATTTTTAATATTGTCAGTGATTACAGGTTTTCACATATTGTTTTAGGAGTTAAAAGTTACTTAACAAATACAGAACTGATGTTTGTACAAATCGTTAATAAATATTATTAATTATTATAAGTCCAATTATGAAATGTCATATACTCAAAAATGAATCAGAATTAGTAATGTATTTAGAAGCTTGTTTTCTCGAATTAAGTATATGAATTTTGTTGGTAGATAATATAAACAGTATTTCACTAGAATGAAATAATATTGATGCTGTACTGTTTTAAATATCATCACACACCACTGTTCTCACTCGGCGTTCACAGCATAATGGCTGTATGACGTCAGCAGTGTGCGCTAGAGATGACATATACTTGCTTCTCTTTCACACAAATTACAGATGTGGTCACTGTAAATATTGATAGATAACGCGAAGGCGTTAGTTATTAGCATGATTATGATATGGATCAAGAAATCTCTCAATCCTGACGACCCAAACCGACTTCTATTTACATGAAATCACTCCTTTTGTAGTGGAAAAACTTGGAAACGGGACTGCATTTTTATCAATTTTATTTTATAATTTTTCACTATATGGTAATGACATTTCGTAATAAGACAAAGTTTTATTCATACTTTAAATTATTACCGAATTTGGAACTATTTTTATTATTTTTTCCACAACACCTAGAAGAATCATCTGTATTTGTAGTATATTGTATATATTTATTGTTTTTAATCTGTATTTGAACATTGTTCTGTATTTGGAAAGGTGCCTTTAAGTTTGGTAGAAGTTTATAGTAATGTTTTCTGTATAGTTATTTGTATGTGATGTATACAATATGAGAGTTTTTAATTGGTTTTAATAGTTTTGTTCATGTTGCATGTACGCTAGTGTTAGAAACAGTATTCAGTGATGCAATAAACAATATACATTTACAATGTTTTTTTATTTTACAAATTTATGTACATAATTTAATATCTATGACACTCCCGGCCGCCCGCTAGCTCACTATTTTATATGTCAACTATACCAATACGATAAGTAGTATGTTCCTTGGAGTTAGTTAAGACACGCGCAATTTGGTCGAGATAAAGTTGACCGTTCAGTTTTGTGTATTTTACGAAATAAAACATCTTTCCATAAAGGGGCCTTTAACTCACAGCATACTAACCCTTAGATCCTTATGCCAATACATTATTTTTTGGTATATCTAATATTAATTTTCTTAATTATAGTTATAAAAATAGATTTCAAATACTACTATAACTTTGTTCATAGGACAAGTTAATTGATCAAGTTACCAGTTTGTCGCTGAACAAAGGGTGTACCCCTTTGTTCAGAATTCAGAAATGTCGCTTTCTGAAATCTGACACACTTAACAAACTGTATGCAACTGGTATATTCATTTTATTAATATGCAAGTGAGTTTAATTATTATAATTTTAAATATAAATATTTTTAGACCTGTATATTCTTGATTATAAAAAATAAAGACATATATTCTTCTTAAGTATGTACTATTAAATAATTATGGACATTCAGTATTTGGCAAATACCATTCCAGCTAGCCTAATTGATAAATACAATGCATTTGGCATAAATAACAGAGAATTTCTCAATGTAATATAATATAATATGTATATTTAACTGGTTCTAAATATATTCAATATATTTACCACACCAATGTTACTTTCCTCTAAGTCTTATATGATTTTTTTATTTGCAACTACCTTTATCCTATCTATAATTGTGTTAACCTCAGCCATGGCTCCAATTCCTGTGTCACCACATATTAATGTCTTTTCTATTGGTGGTATCTCTTCGTGACCCCATTCTTTCAATACAGCTATCTGTTTTGAAGTAATTGGGTGTTGCCACATTCTAGTGTTCATCGCTGGACAGAAGATTAAGGGTTTCGTAAGATCCCAAGCTCGAGTTGTGCAAGTCAATACATTATCACATATCCCCTGTAACAATCAATGATCCTAAAGCTTTTTAGATATCAATATAGGCCATACCTATCATCATTATATGTATTTATGAATGGTAATACTACAATACATAATGGGTAGTACCCATAGTGCAAGCAAGGTCTTTTTGAGGATAACTGATAGACAAACTTTTATATAAGTACTGTCTTATGGTTATGTACAATAAAAAATATGAACAGATATAATTTTTTTTTAAAACAATAGTGTCAATCAAGCAGATGGCATATTTGCCATTGTATATTTACAATCATGACTGAATGTTTATCTTGCATGAGAATAGAACTCATGACCATAGTAAATTAAGGCACTGCTTCAAATGATTAGATGTGAAATAATTTTCACATCTTTATTTAATAATAATATTCACATCTCTATTGTTTCAAATAATAGACTGTTCCGATTTCTTGTTATAATAAAATTAAAAAATCATAATAACGCAAAATAGTCTACAACTCAAATTTGATTACGAAAACATCTCATTCATAATTTTAGTAAGACTTTCCAAAAAGGATTTCTTAACTTTTATTGCTGCAGACTTGTAATAACTGTAAAATGACTACCTGTGACATTTTAGCCAATGTGTTAGCATCTAGTGGTGCAATAACCATCATGTCTGCCCATTTGCCCAGCTCAATATGAACAACTGGATCCCCTCTTTGATTCCACGCCTGCCATTCTGAATTATCATCAAACATAATCACCTTTGGTGGTAATTCTGCTGCATCAAAGAAGTGTTTTGCATGTTCTGTAACTATAAGACGAACCTAAAAAATTAATGGTGTATATATTAAAGTTGTTTCATAACATATATTGACGGCCTTAATGATCTAGTGGTTTTACACTGCCTTACTTTTGATGGTGGCGGATGTGATTGCTCGCGCAGTGCGATTTGTATTCATGAGTATATTCGTTTGTATTGGTCTGGGTGTTTTCTATGTACATTACGTATTATATGTAATTTTTTTTATTTAAGCACTTGAAATATTGGCAGAATAGATAATGACGTAATAAAGGAACTGAATTAGTAAATATTAATATAAATCTAACCTCAAAGTGATATGGAGTTTCACTGGTATTTAACTCCAATAAATTATTCACTAAAATTGGTATTTTTAATGCAGCTACACTCCCTGTTGCAGCAATTAACAATTTATATGGGTTATTTTCCATTTCTTTATTTTTGTTACTTAAATAAATATAGTATAATAAGTTTTATACAACAATAACAACATTGATTAAAAGAATCATGCTAAATCAAATAAGCAAAACAAAAATCATATGACAATTCGATCAAAACAAATCAACTTGAGTTATGGACTGACATTATTTGACATCACAAACGGACTACACTACATGATGATTTTTTTTCTAATCTATAATATATAAAGCTGCATTACGGTGACTCACTCACTGATTGACATAGTTGTTCTCCCAGAAGGAGCGTCCGGGGGTCGAGACGATGTATGGGGGAAATGTTCCTTTGGCTAGGGTGACCACGAGAAAATTCCGAAATTTGGGAAAATCCAAGATGGCGGACAAAGATGGCGGCTAACTTTTACAGTTTCGCTCGGATCGATTCCGTTCAAAGAGTGATTTGGCACATCTCGGCGGGACCCAGAATATGGCGTAAAAACAAAAAATTAAAATCCAAGATGGCGGTGAAAAAATTGCCAAAAACTGGTTGAAAATTTTCTAGGATTTCAAAAACCGAAATTCCCAGGATAGTTGCGGGGGTGCTGGCGACACCGGTTGTAGGGCATAGGAAACTCGAAGGACCCGACCTCTAGGGAAAATTATGAAATTTCGAAAATCCAAGATGGCCGACGAGTTGGGGGCGTGTGAATTTGGTCCTAAAAATCCGGATTATTTTCAAAATCATTTTTTAGATATAGGGCAACCCCGCAGCGAGTCGGCTTCTATGGGGCGATGATGGGTCTCGGTAAGAAGTATTGCCAGCGATAAAAAGAATTTCCGAATTTGGGGTAATTTGGGAGAAATGGTCCAAAAAGTGGGAAAAAATTTTTTTCGGCATTTTTGACAAAAGAAGCATCAAGGCCTATCGAGAAACATCCCCTAAAGGGTTTTAGGTGGGTTTTGTTGGAATTTTCTGGCAACACCCATACATGGTTTGACCAAAATAGAAATTGGGGTGTCTCTCCAAAAACTGAAATTCCTAGGGTACTTGCGGGGATACTACCGATCCCTATTGTAGGGCATTGGGAGGCTGAAAGACCCGGCCTCTAGGGAAAATTATGAAATTTCAGAAATCCAAGATGGCGGCCAAGCTATGGGAGATTTAGTTTTTCGAAAAATTTTGAGATATTTTCAATCGCGTTTTTGCTGCACATGGCAACCCCGTAGCTAAACGCCACCTACTGACATGGGTAAGTCTCAGTAAGAAGATTTGCCAGGGCTAAAAATTTTCCCCGATTTTGGGTTAAATTTGGAGAAAAGTCCCATAAAGTGGGAAAAATTTTTTTCGACATTTTAAATGAAAAAGTCTTGTTGGTCTACCAAAAATCGTCCCCTGAAGGGTTTTAGGGGAATTTTGTCAGAATTTGCTGGCAACACCCATACATCATGGGACAAATTTTGAAATTGAGGTCTAGCTTCAAAAACTGAAATTGATAGGCTACCTACGAGTGTGCTAGCTCAACGCACTGTGCGGCGTCGGATAGCCGAAGGACCCGGCATCTAGGGAAAATTATGAAATTTTAGAAATCCAAGATGGCGGCAGAGATAGGGGAGTTTTGCTTTTCGGAGAAAAATTGGGATATTTGTAAATGTAGTTTTAGGACACTTGGCAACCCCACAGCCAGTCGACTTCTATGGAGAGATGATGTGTCTCAATACAAAGTATTACCTGGTATAAAAATTTTCCCCGATTTTAGGGTAATTGTTGAGATAGGTCCTAAAAAGTGGGAAAAATTTTTTTCGATATTTCAAACAAAAGAATGATGAAAATCTGTCAAAAACAATCCCCCTATTGATTTTAGGTGGTTTTTATCAGAATTATCTGGCAACACCTTACATCAGTATTCTTAGAGAATAGTACTAGAAGGAGTCACCGAGGCTCTATACAATGTATGAACGAAATGTTTCTGTCACTAAGGTGAATACGTCAAAAGTATTAAAAAGTAAAAATCTAAGATGGCGGCCGAGTTAGGGTACTTAATTTATGTTGACAATTTTAGGGACTTTTTAAAATTCAATTTTGGGGTAATATAAATTAAACCCTGCAGCGAGTTGACTTCTATAGAGCAATGGAAACTCTCGGTGGAAAATTTTACCTGGTCTAAAAATTTTCCCCGATTTTGGGGTAATTTCAGAGAAAAGTAAAAAAACGTGGGAATTTTTTTTTTTTCGTTAATTTGAACAAAACAGTGATGAGCATTGGTTCAAAATCATCCCCCAAAGGATCCTAGGTGGTTTTTGTCAAAATCATCTGGCAGCACCATACATCGATTTTCATAGTAAACCGTACTAAGGAACTAGAGGTGTAACCTGGGCTCTGTACAATGTATGTATGAAGTGTTTCTGTCACCAAAATGTATGTGTTAAAAGTATTTAAAAAGGAAAAATCCAAGATGGCGGCCGAATTAGGATACTTTATTTATTATGACAATTTTAAGGTCTTTTTAGTAAATTCAGTTTTGTGGCACCTATCAACCCTGCAGCGAACTGACTTCTATTGAGGAATGGAAACTCTCGGTGCGAAGTATTAACTAATTTTCATAGTAAACAGTACTAAGGAAGTACTAGAAGGAGTCACCTTACATCTGTACAATGTATGGACAAAATGTTTCTGTCACCAAAGTGGATAAGTTAAAAGTATTTAAAAAAGGAAAAATCCAAGGTGGCGGCCGAGTTTGAGTATTTTTTCTCTGATGATAAATTTACCTGGCTTCCCTGCAGCGAGTCGACCTTTATTGAGCAGTGGTAGATTTCGGTTCGAAATATTACCTAGGTTACAAATGTTCCCCGTTTTTTGGGTAATTTTGCAAACCCAAAATGTGGGATTTTTTTTTCGACAAACTATATATAAGAGCAACGGAGATCTATAATAAATATCATCTTAATAGTTATATGCGATTTTTTGTAAAATTAGGTGGCAACACCATGGATCGATTTTCGTAAAAAGTAATATTTACTAAGGACCCACTAGAAGGACCGTGTCTCTGTACAATATATGTACGAAAAAGGAAAAATGGTATGAAAATTTTCCCCGATTTTGGGTAATTTACAAGACAAGTCCAAAATGTGGGATTTTTTTTTCGATATTTCAAACAAAATAATGATGGATATCTGTCAAAAATCATCCCCTTATTGGTTTTTCGTGGTTTTTGTCAGAATTATTTGGCAACATCTTAGATCAGTTTTCTTAGGGAATAGTACAAGAAGAAGTCATCGAGACTCTACATAATGTATGGACGAAATGTTTCTGTTATTAGGGTGAATACGTCAAAAGTATTAAGAAGTAAAAATCCATGGCGGCCGAGTTAGGGTACTTTATTTAATTCAGTTTTCATGTACCCATCGTCACTGCAGCGAGTTGACTTTTATGGAGCAGTGGAAACTCTCGGTACGAAGCACTACCTGGTCTAAAAATTTTCCCCGATTTTAGGGTAATATCGGAGAGAAGTAAAAAACGTGGGATTTTTTGTTTCATCATTTTAGACCAAACAATGATGACGATCTGTCAAAAATAATCCCCAAGGGGTCTTAGGCGGTTTTTGTCAAAATGTGCTGGCAACACCATACATCGATCGATTTCCATTGTAAACAGTACTTAGGAACAACTAGAAGGAGTTACCTTGGCTCTGTACAATGTATGGACGAAATGTTTCTCACTAAGGTGTATATGTTAAAACTATTTAAAAAGCAATCATTCAAGATAGCGGCCGAGTTAGGGTACTTTATTCCTGATGACAAGTTTAGGGACGTTTTAAAACTCATTTTTGGGGTACTATTTTATTCCTTACAGCATGTTGACTTCTACGGAGCAAAGATAAGAAGAATTATATAGGCTACAAATTTTCCCCGATTTTCGGGTAATTTAGCAAACCCAAAATGTGGGAAAATTTTTTCGACATTTTTTTTTAAATAACTTTTATTTGACGGGTATCTATTATAAATCTCATCTTAATAGTTTTATGCAATTTTTTGTAAAATTAGGGGGCAACACCAGGTATAGATTTTCGTAGAAAGTAATATTTACTAAGGACCCACTAAAAGGACCGTGTCTCTGTACAATATGTGGACGAAATATATCTGTCGTAATGTAATATATATGTAAGAAGTATCAAAATGGAAAAATCCAAGATGGCCGCCGAGGTTGACTTTGAACAAAATTTGGAAGATTTTTTTATTTTGGTACATAGTAACCATGCAGCGAGTCCGCTTTTATGGGATGGCATTGAATCTCAGTATTGCCAGGGCTAAAAACTTTCCCCGATTTTAATATTTATGATATTTTAATTAAAAGAGTGATGAGTGGTTATTATTTATCATAGGTCCTTTACCTACGATAAATAATAACCCTAAGGCTTTTATCAAAATTATTTGGAAAACTTTATTATGAAAACCGATGTAAGTTGTTACATCGGTTATACTATGTAATATTATGTTATCTGTGGTTATACTAAATTATTAGAAGGAGTTGACAATGTATGGACGAAATGATTTTGCCACCCTGGTAGCTAAGCCAAAATAAAAAAAAATAAAAATTCAATACTACGGCCGAAGACGTCAATTTTTTGCCTATACCTTAGTATAGGTGACCACAAATATCAAATTAGTTTTGGATTGTGACATAAAAACTCACACAAATATTGAACATTTTCGATGTCGAAATTATTTTCAGGAATGCTGTTCTGAATAATTTGTGTCTTTGGATTTTGTAATTTGAAGATTGCAAAATGTGTAAAATTTTCAGATTGTAAATAATGAGAATAAGTTTTGTCCATACATTTCTTTCATTGTATGATATCCACGGTTTATTACCAGCTAAGGAGACTATCTTGGAATTCATTCCTGCTTTGGTGACTATTCTAAATGATAATCGTTCGTGTGAAAAATACAGTTATGATTTATATGTCCTTTACACTAGAAATTTTGGTCACAGATCTATTCTATAAGGTATAAAAGTTGGTTAGGTTAGGTTCAGTTTTATGACCTCTGCATTAGAAATAGCGACCCCATACTAATTAGTATATAGAAAGTAGGGTTCGATATGATTTTGTATTTCGTATTCGGTTAGGTAGTAATATAATGGCCAATTATAATAGAAATTATAGCCACAGATCTATACGGTATGCAGAAGTGAATTAGGTTAGATTTCATATTCTGTTCTCTACATTATAAACTATGATCACAGACTAATATATTGTAAAGAAATGTAGGTTAGGTTTTGTATTGGGACCATTACAATACAAAGTGGCGCCATAAGTCAATACGGTATACAAACAATAAGTTAGGTTTTTTTTTCACTCTTACAATAGGAATTGACATTTGTGGTATAGTTTCGTATCAAAACATGTTTCTGCCAACCAAGATCGAAAAGAAAACCTTCACCATAAAAAAATCAGCTAAAACGACCCACACGCAACCTAGACGGTTTTGTTTTTCTTTATTTCCTTTACAATAGAAATTATGGTCAAAGATATATAGAGAGGTAGGTTAGGTTAGATTTTGTATTGCTACTCAGTAGTAATTATTGCTTCAGACTATTAGTATACTGAAAAGTAAGATGAGGTTAGGTCTATAGACAGGAGAATATGGAAATTGTGGTCACAGACCAATAAGGTACACAGAAACGTGGGTTAGGTTAGGTTTCGTATTATGATCTCTGCATCAGAAACTGTGAACCGAAATTGATGTAGTATACAGAAAGGTAGGTAATGTGAGGTTTTGTAATGTGGCCAATGCAATAAAAATTAAAGCCACAGGTCGAAATGGTATACAGAAAGGTAGGTTAAGTTAGGTTTTGTATTGCGACTCTTACAGTAGAAATTATGGCCTCAGACTAATATAGTATACAGAAAGGTAGGTTAGGTTAGGTTTTGTATTGTGACCATTACAATACAAAGTTTCGCCACAGGTTCACTGTTACAATAGGAAGTCACCTAATCGTATCAAAACAGACAACTCTACTTGCCAACCAAGTCTATTCGAAAAGAAAACCGTCTTCACAAAAAAAAATCAACGACAACGCCTCGCGGGCCTCTTGAGGCCCGCGCACACACGCACCCTCTAGTCTATAAAATAAAACTACCAATAATGACTTATCACTATAATTTCAACGCTATTATTTTTTGGTTCGGTTTCTCTCGTCTCATAGAAAGGCAATAGGAGGCTCAGCTCATACGGTGAATATCTACACTATTGACTGATAGACTGATCCTGATGTCACACATAAACGTCAGTCGAGGACAAATTCAACATAAGTTTGTCAGAATTGGATAAACAAAGGCAGTAAGAAAGACTGGCAGTCAGTGAGTGAACCAGTCGCCAGTCAGTTTATATTACTGTGTTAATATTTACGTTAAATTTGTTAAGTTCTGTTACACCTATTAAATATTTGCGATATATTAATCGTGTGAATAAGTGTGTGTTTCCAAATTCTAATGTTAGGGTGACATGTTGTAAATATATCCTATTAAACTTAATGTGATTGTGATAAGGTATCATTTGAGAAAATATAGTACAGTTGTTTACGATGGATGCAAACTCTAAATATTACGAGGGCTGCGGCCAAGAGGGACCTATTCGTTGTATATTTCTGTGTGAATTCCATCCTACAGCTGGTCCAAAAATAACCTGTCAAGTGCCAGAAAATTATATATCCAAAGACATATTCGATACTGTTAGTCACTACATTATACCGAAAGTTCAACTTCAGAGATGCACTTTGACTGTGTGAGTTCCAATATTAAATATTTAATAATATATCAATATTTATATAATAGTAAGTACCTACCTACCTATATTTATCCATGGCCTCTGGTGTGGTAATGTGGCAATAAAATATATTTTTTATTAGGTATGTTTAAATAGGTATTAATTGTTAATTAAATTCAAATAGTAAGGTGAATAGTGTAGGAATATATTAATACAATCTATTGTGAATATTTTAACTTACTAGAAATGAATTATTACTATAAAATATTATGATTTTTTGTTATCAATATATTGTTTTACAATTCAACAGTTTATCTAATCTTTTGTACTAAATATAGTTTTATTTTAATTATGTGGGTAGGGAGGTGAAACCAGATATTGGCTTAATATGAATTTGTGTGTTGAATTGTGTTGAATGAGATTTGTAATAATATGTATTTCCATATTTTTGCACATTCAATTAAGTTTGTTTTTATAAACTTTTACCCACTTATTCTTTATGCTAACCCTCTAAAAAATATAATTAACATAATCAGATGTTTTGTCTTTTGTATATATGCATTTTTTAATTTGAGAAAATGTGGCAAAAATCTGCAATACATTTATTGCAGTGTCTCATGAAATCACATTCTTCATAAGAAATATAAATTAATGTAGTAATAGATATTTTTGGTCTCATGAAATTTTAGTTGGTCACCTATTTCCAATATCAATACTTATATTTATTTATCTACCATGCCAGTACTCTTACAATGTAAGCAGAGACAAATCATCATCATTAATATAATATTCTAAGCACATACACTGATTGTCTATGGTAAATATTCTTAGACTACCACAAGGAATGATTCTAAACCAGATGCAATTATCCATCTTCATACTAGATTGCTTATGGGATAGACAGTGAGAAAGAACTGCCTTTATGTCCTACACAACCCTTGCTTCATCATGTATTTTCCATCATTCATTTGTTTATTAAATATTTTATATTCAAGTTATATTCTTAGCTTAAATATGACTTTGTTAATCACTAAAAACACATAAACTAAAGAGATTCAAGCTATTTCAAGCTTGAAACTTTTTAGTTTATGTGCATGCAAAGCTTTCTACTTTTCAAGCTATATCCTAATTCTTTGTTAATCATAAAAAGTTTATGTAACTGATTTTTTAATTTTTTTCTAGCACACTACTTGGGTCCAAAATCCTTGGTTTTCCAGTAAAAATTGATAATAAGAAGTATGCTCGCAATGCATTTTACTTCAACCTATGCTTTGTGTGTGATGCATGGGCCCGGACGGTACATCTGGAGCCACTGGTGAAGAAACTCACTGAATATCTTGTAAGTATATATGTATTACTATATAGATTACAAATAGTTTTTTTAGTGGATGCTAATGGAATTATGCACCCCCCTGCGCTCACATTTTACGCTGGTCGGGCACCAGTGGAAGATGATACGACGAGCATGAAGTCAGGTCAGTTGGCCCGTCGTGACAACTGACAAGTTCACCAAGAATTTATCACGGTGATTTAAAGGGGGAAAATGGCTTGACATGGTACATTGCTAGCAATGGGGTCACCAAATACACTTTACTAACAATCACTGTTGCCCCCGATTACAAATAGATTAAAAAGTTACCTGCATGGATACCTGTCTCACATATTTAAGTCGCCAAACAACTTGCTATATAATCGCTGGGCAGATTAGGCAGTACAATTACAGGGTAAGAATCAGTATCTTAGTCGTCTGGTATGACAACGCATGAGTGGTATCAAGGGTGTCACATACTCGCGTGATATTTTAGTATTGTTTTTGTTTAGTGTAGGCAACGGTTACCGATTACAATCAAACGGCCCACTTATTTACCATTCCAATTACATCATAAAAAAGTACATAACTACATGTACTTACCCCGCGGTTACACCCGCCGTTTAATCTACAACGAATAGCCGCCATACGCTATTCGTTCTATCGTCATTCGTAGACCACATAGGCCGAATGAATATGAACAATCATTCTTCAGTTTGAAACAAATTGGACGACGAAATAAGAAAATTCGTTCAAAAATTATCCCGAGGGACGTCAACCGTCTCCACGATCCCATATATCTCTGAAGCAAAATTTTCCAAAATCGATTCAGCGATTTAGGAAACCAAAGTTTCAAAGAAACAAAATCACTTTCATATTTATAATGTTACTTAGGATTGTGAGATTAATTTAATATTCATGTTAAATATTTTAACTGACTTAAGAATTGCAAATTCTCTGCTGAATTAAGTACAAGTCATCGTATATCTATTATAATACATATATATTATCTGCCAATTGGATACACGAATTGTCTTCACAATTTAGTAGGTATCATTAAACCTGTTTCCCCTGTAGATAAATTTGTAAACAACACTTTAATAATGAGTCATTATTGAATTAGGTGATTTGTACGTACTGTCTCTAAAGTATTTTGTATGTGTGTGTGTGTGTAACAAGGTGCTTACTACTTAGTTAAATCATCAAAATATTTAGATAGTTAACACAAAGCGTGATCGTTTTATCCTATATACCAAAACATGTAGAATTCAATGTTTTCAAAAGACCAACAGAAAAGTCGAAACTGCTAAATAACTGAACGTGTCAGATTTGTCTCTAATATGTAAATTATTTCATTTATATTTTACATTATATTAGACATAAAAATTTGAGTTTTATTTATATTATATATTCCAAATGTAAATGGTAAAGCAATGACTTCTTGATTGAAAGTTTGAGTGAAATTTATATCGTCAAAGCATATTCGTAATCAATATAAGTCGTAACCACTTCAGACAGTTTATAACTTGATTATATCTAACTAAATAGATAATACGGTGATTTTCGTATCACCGTCATCTATAATATAAAATTTCTAGTTTTTGATCAGCCATCAACAATGCGAATCAAACTTCTAACTCTAATTCATTATGATCAATAACAAATATTGGCTGAAAATAATAATAAAATAAAGACAATATTATATCTCTAATTTTTTTATAATTTTATATGTTACCAAAATTTATGACTTTTTTTCGAAATGAACAGCAAATGAATTTCGTATTCAGATTTCTGGTCATCGAAGACAAAGTTTAAATATTTTATATTTCGATTTAAAATTAAATGAAACATGTTTCTAAATGGTGGATAATATGTAGTAGGTATAAATATTAAATAATTTATGTAATAGTTTTAAAATTTTTAAAGCGAAAAATGTATTCTCAGCCTTGTCGCCTGCGGAGGATGTTTACAGAGGTGCCACTGTTAAATGGCAAACTGATTGTTCGCGTTGCCCCAAACTATAACAGGTGTTGCGAATTTACGATCAATTTCCATCCTTATGCATAATGGATTAGAGTTCATTGATCTGTAGCCTGTAGTAATAAATAAAACTGTTGCTGTCAGGTGATCAGAATAGCAACTGTTTGTTTTGCCTTTTCACCTGGAATACAACAGGACTGGTTACAGGAAAATCTCATTTTAATTATAGCCAGTTTTAATCAGATTTTACAGAAGTCTTTTTTAATCGAAAGTTATTATGCGTATTTGTAACGCGTTAACTTATACAATAGTCACTAATAGATTTTTTAAAAATACGATAAACTGTTTGATTATTTTTCTTAAAATTAAGTTTTTTGGTTGAATTATATATATTATTTATTGCACTTTGAAACACAGTAACTATTTTAATTGTAGAAAATGTGATCAAAAGTGCACGTATCTCTAAAAGATATCTCTACCAGTCAACCCGACACAGCGTGGCTTGGCTAGTAGTGAGAGGGTAACATTAGACAGCGTGGCATAGCTAATAATAATGGGTAACACTAGTGCAACTAACAATTGGACGTCTAGATGTCAAATTTTATAATTTCTATGGGTAATATCTCATCGTCATGGAATAATCTTTTTAATTATTACAAATAAATACAACAAAATACTATCAACCCTAAATACTATTAATAGAGAGGAAAGCAAAGCGCGGAGCACTGATAGAGATCAGATTTGCACTCTTTGTAACGATACTCCTCCGAAAGGGCTTTACCGATAGGAACCAACATTTCATGGAAGTTTAACCGTCGCTACTCCATCGTTTACCACTCAAAAATCCGATCGGTCAAGGTTGAGTTTTTAAGAATAAACGCGCTCCGCTCAACATGTAACCTAGTGTATAAACAACACACCGGTGATAAACAGTTATTTATGTAATCTTTCAATATATCCTTGTAATGTAAAAACAATGTAATTAAATCATTTAAATTATTAACCGGGTCTTAACACGAATAATTTTATGGCAAATAAAGGTATACCTCTCGACGTTTCGGCTAGGTTGCACTAGCTGTGGTCACGAGCTGACCATATTGCCATAAAATTATTCGTGTTAAGACCCGGTTAATAATTTAAATAATGTATATTAAACACGAAAGTTTAAAGTTAGCTAATGTAATTAAATCATTTATATGTACGCGTAATTGCAGAAGACAGTGAAACCTGCTATTTATTTTTTAAGACTTTTGATATTTGTGTATTTCCCAAATAAAAAAATTATTGTAGCTGTTCCCGCGGTTTTACTCACGTTATATTACACTAAAAAATATAGCCTATGTGTTATTCTAATGCATAAGCTATATTACTGTAAAGTTTCAACAAAATCCGTTCAGTAGTTTTTGCGTGAAAGAGTAACAAATATCCATACGAATTAATAAGATTGATTAAAATTGAAGAAGGTTATAAATCCGCTTTCAAACAAGTGACGTACTGCCTCTTCTGTATGTAGCTGTCAATGGAACTGGAGACGGAGTGGCTGTCCAAGCAGTCCACATCCGGCGACGCGAAGCAGCTTACTACCCTCATGAAGCAGGTCATGCAAGACATCAACAGCAGACGGATGTGCACTCTTACAGGTAACGAAATCATTTACTGATATATTTATATATTTTTTTTAATATTATTATTGTAATCATTAGCTGTGCCCGCGGTTTCACCCGCGTCAAATTTGTAGCCTATATGTTGTTCTGATATATGCTATATTACTGTAAAGTTTCATCAAAATCCGTTTAGTAGTTTTTGCGTGAAAGAGTAAAAAACATCCATCCATACTTATATACCGTAAATGCGAAAGTTTGTTATTTAGGGTAAGCGTTGTTCCGACTGTTATTGAGTCTACACTCATTGCGACACGTATTTCGGCTCTGAACGAGGCATCGTCAGGCATTGATAGAGTTCTGATATAGCTAGGAAGCTTCCTACTAAGCTTAGTATTGCCTGTTCGGCGATTCAAACTGCGCTGAACAAGTTCGCCAGTAGGAATGGTCATTTCCGCACTGAATATTTGTGGTCTCACACATGCTAATGGTAGTGGAATTAAATAAAATTAGATAAATGAAATAAGTAATGAAATGGACTTCCGTAAAATAACGCCTAATTTGGTAAAATGAACCTTATACTTTAGATAAGTCAGGGCCACCGTTAATTCGGAGTATACTAAAAGTATACCGCAAAGGAGCGACAATAAACCCCAGTTGATATTGTTTTGAAGAAATAGAAATAATCATTATTCTATTTGAATAATGATTATTTCTATTTCTTAATATGAATTATTTTGTATAGTCAAGATATTGTACATATTTGTCATAATTAAATCCGATTATTATAATACCAGATTTATTCTCATTTAGATATCGCACTGCGCGACTAGGGTTGTCACGTCTGTTTAAAGTAAGTTGCAAAAATATGTATAGTAATTTTGGAAAGTTAGACAAAAAATAGTACAAATTTATTTTTCTTTGTTAATATTATATATTATTTGTTTCATTATTTAATTTTCCATGTACAATTGTTATTATTCTTCTCTGTAGCCAAAGTTCTATTATTTTTTTACTAATTATAGAAATACAAATTACTTTTCGTAAAAGCACAATCTTTGTTAAACGCACAAATTAATTTCGAAAATATACTATTGTTCGTATTAAAATGTTTTTTTAGTACAATTTACCGAACTATTAATACGAAAATGGACCTGTATGTCTATTTGTTACCTTTTCACGTCTAAACGGCTAAACTATGAAGACAGACATAGATAATATAGATCCAAGATAGCCTATCTTTCATATCAAAAATGCAGACGAAGTCACGGCTATCACCAATATACTTCCTGTTGAATACAAATATTGTATCTATATGCTTGCCTAATATATAATCTATACATGTAAATAAAATTGGAGTGTCTGTTTGTAATATTGAAATAACCGTTTTTTACTACATGCATATAAATATAAATACGGTACATTTACCAAAATATTTTTTTTTACAAATTTTGTCTATCTGTCTGTTTGTTCCGGCTAATCTCTGTAATGGCTGGACTGATTTTGACGGGATTTTTTTGGCAGGTAGCTGATCTAATAAGTTACTCAACTTAGGCTACTTTTATTTTAAAAAAATAAAGTTAAATTCCACGCGAACGAAGTCGCGGGAGCAAGTAGTATATTATACTGTTAGTGGAAACCCTACTCATGACATTGGATGATGCGAAACATGCAAAGTTAATTCTGCTAATAAAAATAACGTATCGAATATCGTTCTATCATACGCAGATAATAATTAAATTACTAGTCTTGCGATAATTAGAACGTGGGTGCGTACTTATCTACTCGTAAGAGGGGTCTCACATTATCAAGTTCTGACCCGACGGCTCGTGTCGACGACGCCGTTTGATTGGCGGAATTCCACACAGGGCGGTCTGTACCAACCAATGTGCTAATCGTCCGTACAGGCTCGTGGCTGAATTTTATAGTGTGAGCCCCCTCTAACTCAGTAGCGTGTTTGCTCTTCATGAAGATATGCTAATATAGTAAATCTGAAGAGTTTCACACTTGAATATAAATATTGTTGTTTTACCTCAGTAGACTTTACAAAGTCGTCTGCGTGAATACATATGTCTGGAGGGAAGAGGTTTGTTAGTAATGTGGACTGTTCATGTAAGGTTGACCTCTACGCGGTTCCCCCTAGATATCACCATCGTTGATAATTTCCCAGTTTGTTACGATGGACTAACTGACCTGAAATTTTCTTCACACTCATCTTATTTACCACTGATGCCCTGCCAGCGTAAACCATTAGCGCAGATGGGTGCATCATTCCATTATCATCCATTTAAAAAAACAGTCCCGCCTATTTCAGCTGTCAAACAGCTAGTTTAATAAGCTGTATTTCGGTTGAAGTGGCAATAAAATGGGTAAAGAAACACCGTAGTCCTTTGGAATGGCAACACATATTGACGTGATGCTGTTCATGTATACAGGTGGCAGTTATCACAACTATAGCCAAGAGATTATTTGATACTAGTTGATAAAAAAATGTTAGCAACATATCGGAAACAAAGTTGATGCAAATAGTTTGAGCTGCACAACTAGAAAAATCATATTTCAGTAATTGAGGAAGGTCAAGTTGTTTAACATCAAGCTACAGCCCTTGAGGACAGAGATAAAAGTAAAAAAGCGAGTTCGCGCGTACGATGCGCTGTGTTAGAATAGTCTAGTAATAGTAGAATTAGAAGTCAAAGGCGACTATAATTTCATTCAAATTACATGCTACGTCCAAGATCACAGATAATAATAAAAAAAAACGAAAGTCGTATCGATCCATCTAACCATTTTCGTTCGTCTCACGTGAATGATTATCATTGCCTGTTATAGAGAAAGCGTAATAGACGCGCAATTGAATTCGATCACATCGAACGCGTCCAACATTTAACGACTCTTATCGAATTTTCGAGAATTTTCGAAAATCCTACTCGGCTTCTCGACACCTATACTCATTTACATATTTAATTTTTATTGCACTATTAAAAATATATGTACAAGTAGTTGTGCCCGTGACTTCGTCCGAATGGAATAGACGTCGTCGTCGTTCAAGAAAAAGATAAAAAGAGATAAATGGACTGTATGAAAGATGATATTACATTACAAGAAAGAGAGTACATAACGTAATGACTGCGAACAGGCATGAATGAAAAACATAATACGCCGACCCCAAATGAATGCGATTAGGAGAAGCAGATGATGATGGGCTAACTGAGCTGATCTCATGCACATCTTATCCTCCACTGATGCCTCGCCATCGTATATCGTTTGCGCATGGGGGTTTATTTATTATCACTAATTAAAAACAAATACATTTTAATTAATACTTGTTTACAACTATTATATGTCAGACAGAAGCTAATGACATTCCATTCTCTATGCCTACGTAAGTAATCTGTGTACGTAACAAAAACCTCTTCTATATTTTGAATTTGGAATACGTAGCATTCATTTGTTTTTATGAATAAATAATTATTACAGAATTATAAAAATACAATCATGGGTTATTATTTATCTCCACAATTTAAAACTATGATTTGTACGTTGTTTTTGGTGCAGTGCAATATGACAATTTATGTTATAGTTCATTGTTTTCTCAAATTTTCAAAATTATATTTGATTGTGTCTATGACACCGGCGCCAATTTTTTTTGTATGTATACGTATCTTTGATAGTAATTTATTCATAAAAACAAAATAATGCTGCGCATTCCAAATTCATAATATAAATAGTTTTTTTTTATTTTTCTGGCTACGGCGATATGTTATAAAGAGATTTTATGTCATGTTCAATTGGGCGAAGATAAATAGCTAGAATTATGTAGTATTATATAATTTTAATAATATCATAAGTCTGCATATTTGTTTTGAAAAAAGTATGTCATCAAGTAAGGTCAGTAACCCCTTATCTACGCGGTTGTTTACCATATAACGAGCAATTTGGTCCACATCAAGAAATAAATGAAACATGCCTACCACAGATAAGAAATATATAATTATGTTATAATTTGTATTGTGGTTCGTCGTTGCTACGCTATAATTACACGATTATATGGAATGGTAGCTGAGCCGTTGTAGACTTTACTGTGTAGGATGTAAGAATTGAATTGAAAGCAATGTGTAACTTGTTTATTGAACAATACAGTTCATATTGGTTGTGATTAACATTCACTCGTACAAAAACAAGAATAATATGTAAAATGTTGATATTGTAGATACAGGTGTTGTCTATGTCATCTATATTTGTTTAATTTAATTTTATCAACCGATTTGTGAAGGAGGAGGTTCTTACTTCAAATATATTTTTGATCGTACACCATAATTCCAATTTTTTAAATGTACAGTAATAGAATAGTGCACTCGCCTGCACTAACTGCATACGGCATCTTTCTTCTTTACTATAGCCATCTGCCTCACATTTTCCCCCATTTTGCAAGATAATTTTCATTGCGTCGGTTCCTATTGGTTGTAGCGTGATGTTATATAGCCTAAAATATTCCCAAATAAGTGGGCTATGTAACTTTAAAATATTTTTTTATATTCGGATCAGTATCTAGAGATTACGCCCTACAACCTCACTTTATCTCTTTATAATATTGACGTTTATAAATAGAGTACCTATGCAACTTGATCTACATCACATATTCCCGATTTTTGCAACATTTTTCGATGCAGCTTCGCTCTTATTGGTGATAGGGCGACGCTATACGGTTTGATTGTTTTAGTAATGACTAAAATAATTTAAAAAATCGGATCAGTAACTCAAAAGTATAAACAGTTAGAAACGGCGAGCTCCATATTTATAGTGGATCGGAATTTGATTCCATAGTATACCGGCAGATCATCAAGTTCCAAATCATATCACGTACACACTATTATCTGTTTTAAGTAAAAAAAAAGCCTAAATATTTTCGTTAAAATCCGTGAAATATGTTCTGCAATCCGATAGGCCGCTTAATATCAGCTGACCTTGTACCAATTTACATACAAATCGACTCGTTAAATACAGGCGTGATGACTTCCTGCTATGATTACATTCGGAGTGTTCAAGGTACAACACTAGCACCAAATCTCCGTAATATCCCTCAGCGGAACATTAAAATTAATAGTGTAAAAGTTCAGTATCGAGGTGCAGTTAAGACTTGTACGGTGCCCTCAGACTAAAGGCGTATCTGTCAGGTGGGAGTTGGTCTTCAGCCGCTCCATAAGTCCCTAAGGGATTGGGGTGCCATCTACACTGGCCTCCTATAGTCCGGTGAAACTGTAAAGGCCTGCTGCGACCAACAGCATTAGAGCAGTACGAAAAAAAGTTAACGCTTCATGTACCTCGCCATAAAAAACGTGCTAGTGTGAAAATATTCTAAAATTCTAAAATAACTGAATAAACACTGAATGAAAAAAATATATCCACAGGATAAGGCAACTAATATCAACGTTTCACACTAGTCAGATTTTTTTTTATACATTTTTGTTTAAAATTTCACGTAACCGAAAAAACACGATTTCCACCAAAAAGGATCTATCTTTAGCTAGTTCGCATAAACAATCCAAGACAGTATAAAAAATTGAAAAACGTGTAAGGTAAACAGATTCACTCTCGCATTTGTAATTAGTTTCAATTTATATTGGTAGTTTCCTATACAGTTAAAATTTCTTATATACGAATGTATATTTAAGTAATTTTCACCAGAAGCATTTCCCATGAAATATATATCTATATGACGAAAATAATATAATATTAAAATTAAGAAAATTGTGCAAATTCACACATTTATGACTCAAAAAATAAGTAAAATATTCCAATCGTACACAAGGCATGCGATCTTTTATAAACGATTCTTGTGATAAACATTAAATATTGCTATAAATAAGTAGCCTTTGATAACACGACGCGTCCAGTTATCTGAGATAAGAATTTTCTGTTTGGTGTTATGGCTTACTTATTTTTGCACTCCCCAATAATTTATTTTCTTTTCCCTGTGGGAATGAGTGTGTGTGCTTGTATGTGCACGTGTGAGTGTGTTGTATGTGTGCGCGCACATATGTATATGTGGGTGTTTGTAAATGTGTGCGTGTGTGTGAGTATATGCATGTGCAAAACCTTACGTTTGTTGTTGATGATAAAATACTGCTGCCGCTTGTATAAATGGTATATATGCTGCCGGGATACCAGCGGAAGTTTGATATAATGAGAATAAAGTGAGATAAATAGACTCTAAATTAATTTCAATATAGATTAAATTAAAATAAATAATCCTACATCATAATTTGAGTTAAAATGTTCTATATCAGATGAATTTATTCTAATTGTATGAGGATTTCAATTCAATTAAAATAATTAATCCGATTCATTATTTCAATTCAAATTTTCTAATTACCAAATACAGCCCATCGTAGGTTGGTTTAGAATATTTGGGCCGAACCAGTATAAAATAAATATTTGCCTATTATAAAATAAATGTAGAGTAGATACAAGAGTTCTTTAGGAAGTAGTGGGACTTAACACAAAATTTAGGAACTTGTCGCGTCCCATTAAATCAAATCAAATCCAAAATATGAGTTGTCATTGTAAAATATAATGTCCAATTTTGTTTTTCCTCACCATCATTTGAAGCATTAAGCAAAATTTGCATTATTCATAATCAAAAACATCAATCAATTTACCGTCAGATCAATTATAAACACATACCTACATACATTATCACATTATTAGGGACTTAAAAAATGATGAAACATTTGTGGAGTAACCAATTATTTTGTTTATTTATCAATTGTTTGTTTTTGTTTGTTTGTAACACTTTATTGTACAGTAAATACATTTAAATTAACTAAAGATACAACGATCTTAAAAAAAAATAAGTTGTACAATAGCGGACTTATCCCAAATGAGGGATTTCTTCCAGTCAACCTTTGAATGACTGAAAGGAATTGTGGAGTGGTGAAAATATATATATATATATATGTATACATGACAATAACAACAAAGGAAAAAGAAGCAAACGTATAACTAACAAATATATAACTAATAATTATTATTATTAATTATCCTCGTGAAAGCTCGTTTAGGTATCTTTACATAGTATAAAATGAAGTCGCTTTCGTTGCCTGTTGCTTATATCTATGAAACTACGCAACGGATTTGAATGCAGTTTTAGCAATAGATAGAGTGATTCAAGAGGACGGTTTATGTGTATAAGACACATGGCTCGGGGCGGATAGCTAGTTTTATTATAAATTCGTATCACCAACAGGTTTTCTTTTAATAAAGAGGTTATTCAATAAAATGATGTTTTAATAAACATGTATAGTGATAACACGCGATAACCCGACCAGACTGGTATATCACAAAAACATCTGTACGGCTGTACGATTACACGTTATCTTGTTTTGTGTCTGACTCTATAAATTTCAGATTAGCTCATATTATATAAAGCTGTTTACTTATGTCAGTGATTAGAATGTTTTGTTTATGCTGAACTTATCCTTTATTCTTTATTGTACACATACAGGAAAAAAATCAGTAATAAGGTAAATGTAATGTACAAGAGCGAGATTATGCCTAAAAAGAGATGTCTTCCAGGAAACCTAAAAAATGTTATAGGATAATGTCCTCACCAGATCAGCCATACATACGTGGACGAGAGAAAAAAAATATTGTCGTATATCTATATATACGACAATATTTTTTCTAATCATTCTTATTGTGTTCTTATTACTATTAATAAGAACACAGTAAGAATGATTAGACGTACACAAATATATGAGTATATAGACATCCAAATATACTTACTTAATTGGAATGAAGTTCATAGCATACCATGGATTCGCCGTGCGGGTGCCGAGTCCATCCTGTGGCAGAGAGGGAAACTCCGAGCAGTTTCCGGGATTAGTTTAGGTTTAATATACCACTTTGCCGACGTGCATCAACACTCACATTCACCGCTCGTATTTCTATCCCTACCCAGCCAAATCTAGTAGGAGCCTGCTAGAGCAGCTTTAGATACACGATTTAGTATGGAACTTACTGCAGTTCTAAACAGGTCAAGATCTTTTAGAAAATTTTATAGACATTTCGGTAGTACACCTCTACCAATATTATACAGGGTTTGTCATAATAAGTATATGAAGCAAAATTCCACGTAGAAAGGTATTGATGATATATGATGATAGTGATACTTAATGCCTTTTTCCATAAAAAAAATGAAATCTAGAAAATACTATTAAATTAATCACGTGACCGTGCAGTTTTTATTTTGTACGTTGATGATGGAATTACGAAACGTATTTTAATGCAACTTTCAGAAATAGATAGAACTATTCAAGAGGATGGTTTATATGTATAATACATGCATATTATAGTACAGTAAACAGAGAAATTCAAAGATTTGCAACACACTCGTGAAATAAAAATTATACTTTGATTCGTAGGAATATTATCAATTTTAAGAAACTTTGAATAAACACATTTTATTTTACCGATTGTGATGATTCTTTTTTTATTCCAATGCAACCAGCGTTACTCGTGTGTTCTCATATTTTAATCAAGATGTTACCAATAGTTTTAGTGTTTTATTTTAAGTTTTCTCGAGTTCTGATCACGGTGTTAGAGTATATTTTCTGTTTTGTTTATCCACAGTGGGCACTACGACCACTCACCTAACCGTGGTGCGGGTTAACACGGACCCCACTCCGGTGAAGGACCACCAGGTGCCGGTGTTCCTGTACAGCAGGCAGTCGTTTGTAGCCGACCAATGGGATCTCACCACCAATCAAGTAAGTAGAATAGAATTTCTAAACTCTTTTACACAGCACCTGACACTAGTATTGCTATACTTATTAGGTCAACTCAACACCGTGTTATTGTAATCGAATTGTTTTTTAAACAAATAAACATTTAATTTTTACGTAATGTTCTTCTTCTTATTTATGAAAACAAAATGACGTTGTTAGTCTCGCTAAAACTTGACGACTCAAACGATTTAGCTAATTTTGATTTTGAAATATTTGTAAAACTCCAAGAAAGGTTTTATAGTGAGAAAATATGAAGAAACTGCATGGAACGTTGTAAAAAGATCAATTTTATTTTGCCATACAAACTGTTCGTAGCTGTCATACAAATATTGAACGTTATTAGTGAAGTTACTCAAAACTATAGCTTCATTCAGTTTCACACATAAAAACACTTTTTACTATAAAATAGTATTTGATTTCCATGACATCAGCAGATAGTTCCTTTGCCCTCTCACTAACAAACAATAAAACAAACTATGGTAGAAAATACATAGTAAACATACAGTTTAACACAAAGAATTTGATAGAAGGGAACACTAAAACTTTGATTGTGATATCTGCTATCTGTTAACACAATTAGTAGGTTTGCTAGATTAAACTAAGTTCATGCCTACGGTTACTACGTCTCTATTTCTTGTAAAATAGCGAAATGTGGTGGTATTTTGAATATCTGTAAATGCTGTTGTGTCTATCTGCCTGTCAGTCTGTCCGTTTGTTTGTTACTATTTCACAACTAAAAGACTGCACGGATATTAATTAATTTCTGGCATGACCTTTGATTATATAAGAAAAATATACGTATACAAAACTTGGATTTTACGCAAGTGACGAAAATATCCTATATAAATAATTATTTTTTTAATTTGATTACATTATTAGGACGGGCATATGATCTTTTACATCTAAAAAAAAAGTAAAGTCGTGGGTAGAGAACCTAGGAAATAAATTTAGTTACTGTTCTGATCTGATGAATTGCGACTCTGATGTGGCAATGGGCGGGGCACATAGCTCGTAGGACAGATGGCCGTTTGGGCAGTAAAGTCCTCGAGTGGCGACCACGGACCGGAAGACGCAGCATGGGAAGGCCTCCAGCAAGGTGGACCGATGATCTGGTCAAGATCGCTGGAAGGCATTGGATGCGAGCAGCGCAGGACCGATCGTCGTGGAGATCTTTGGGGGAGGCCTATGTCCAGCAGTGGACGTCTTCCGGGCTGCGATGATGATGATGATGATGACTGTTCTGAACATAATATTTGTTACAATTAATTACATTTAAATTAATTAATGTATGTTTTATTTTATATGACCACACACACGTTGTTTTATTATATAGCAACATTGTTATAGTCGATTTCCGTTTTCCGTTTCCTTAAAACGTGTTTTGCATACACTTCAGTTATTCAATAATTTCATCTTCAACTAGTATTAATACCAAAAATATACGACTAAAATTACTACTAGCTGCTATGTTATGGTAATAAATTATATTCTGTTCAAGATAACGTATTCTTACATACTAGTATTGTAAATATTACGTACGTTTTATGAAAACAAAATAATTATTCATTATCTAGACAGCGACCTGTCGGCGAAAGGTTTGTGTCTATATTCCTGACTATAACTCTACTAAAATTATACTACAGAATATAAATAATCTTTAATCAAATAAACTTAACGTTAGCACTTTTGAATAGTCAATTTATATTTGTGCTGGCACATTCAGAAGGATGCAGCCATGCAAAATGGTAAAGAACCAGACTAGACTGTACTACACTTCACTGTCGAATATTTTTAAATGCTAAATTATCATTGTTAATATATTATTTTGCCGCCATTACCAGCTCAACAAATAATTATATTTTACTAATTGTACAGTATTTTGAATAGACTTTTTACCGTAGTAATGCAATATAACGTCAAATTACAAAAGTTGTCTGTATACCTGTCTTACCAGAGCACCATTGTCAGCAATTACCATATCTCCAAGCGGTCGCCTCTGGAAACCAGCGTGATTAATTAGTGAATTTGTCAGAATGGGCTTACTGGTCTGACGTAAGCGCATATTGTCATCCTTCACTGGTGCCCCGCCAGCGTATACTGTTAGCGAAGGCGGCTATTTCATTATCGCCGCCAAATATTTTTGATTTTATAATTTGCTTTGTAGATTGTTTTGGATGTAGTCTGAGTTAAGGCATCAAAGTCAACATGCGAGGCGTGATATCTTTGTCCTCAGGAATATAATTCAATTTCATGTATTAATTGTCACGTACATTATATACGTTTCTAAATCTTCCAATACAAAGAAGGGTGGATACATGAACCCCGTTCCAGTGTTGTAGTAGTTATTGTGTAACTATTTACGAGATCGGTAACATATCATAATAGGTCTAACTTAGTTACATTTATAACTAGCTGTTCCCGCGACTTCGTCCGCGTGGAATTTGACTTATTTTTTCTGAAATAAAAGTAGCCTAAGTTACTCTTTATTACATTATCTACCTGCCAAAAAAATCCCGTCAAAATCGGTCCAGTCATTTCAGAAATTAGGGGGAACAAACAGATAGACAGACAGACAAAAATGGGAAAAAAGGTTATTTTGGTGTATGTACTGTATATATATTCATATGCATGTTGTAATAAATGGTTATTTCAATATTACAAACAGACACTCCAATTTTATTTATATGAATAGATGTATAGATAATAATGTCAATTTAATAGTACTAAACAAAGTAATGTCAAAACAGTGTTACTTAAGTATATAAATAACATGATCACATGATAACGTGATGTCCATAGTGTTGTGCATGTACATATATAAGTACTTTTCATCAGATGGACTATTAGGTTATTTTTTATTCTAATTTTATAAAAAAAAAATCTCGGACATACAGAAGAACTCGGGGGTCTAAACTAGTCGTATTTGTAAATGGACTATAAATATATGACCTGCTTAGTGATATACTGCCGAACAAAGCTCCCTATTGTATCATCGAGATGTGAAAAATTGCTAACAATGTCATTTGGACACGAGGATTTTCATGTAAATTAGGATGCTCGCTGAAAAGCATTATTGTGAATGATATTTTCTTTTGAACCGGATATATCCAGTTTAAACCAGTTGGGCCGTTTGTTGTTTAGTATTGTTGTTACCTAACATTGTTGCGTATGTATTATCTCTTAATAAATATTTATTAAACGTTCACAGGCTGTTCACGCGGGAGGAAGCTCCTCTGAAACCGCACTGTCCGAGACCACTTAGGTTCTAGCGTGTGGGGATAAATTCCCTGTCGATGGCAAGCGATGCCATGGTAACAGGTAGCCGTAGGCATCATGTCGAACAATTCCTCAGAACACAGTCCGTTATATATTTGGTAGAACACGCAAAGCGAAGTGAAGTCTCGAAGTGATTAGAATTTATTATACACGTTTCACACGTAGACACTAGTTACATCTTACGGCTTTCGTTTTTTTATCGAACTATTGTAACGGTTACTCCAGTCAGCTTCGTACCACGGCTATTGCAACCTAGTAGAAACGTCAAGAGTGGTAAATACCTATATTTACCATAAAATTATTCGTGTGAAAACTCGTTACAATATTAATATTGTAACGAGCGAGAGTAATATTGAAGCTGGCCTCTACATCTTCGGACGAAAAAGGGGGCGAGTGTAGATGGGACTCTAAATCTGCAGAAAGACTTATTAGGAGTGAAGACTAACTCCTGCCTACTGGATACGATGGATGTTATGTCCATCATGCCCATCTTATTGTCCTCCAATAGTGTCTATTCGTCGTAAACGGTTATCGTTACTTGTGCACCACTCCATAATAATTAATTAGAAAAACCCTAATGAATATCCTTCATTCTGTTAAAATGCCATCTCGATCATCTGGATAAATGGCGGTCCTTCCCCGTGCTTTTTTCTATATTTTTTTTGCGACGCACAACCATATTGTGGAATCATCTTCCAGCAATGTATTTCCGAACCGATACGATATATTGAAACCTTCAAGAAAAGAGTTTATTTCTTCTTAAAAGGTCGGCAATGCACTTGCAACTTGGTGTTGTGGGTGCTCATGGGCGACGGTAATCACTTACCATCAGGTGAGTCACAAGCTCGTTTGGCCCCTATACTATAAAAAAGTCTGTAAAAAGTAGTTTTGAGATTACTAAATAAGAAAAACTGAATATACATATATATAGCATACCATATCCTGACATTGTCGAGGTCAACGACATCGAGTTCAAATGTTGTTGCTCTCACCCGGTTTTGTTCGTATTCTTTTTATTGTGTCTCCCTTTCTCTTTGTCGCGTGTGTAATATTGTATTTATATCCTGTTTTTCTTTGTATCTTTTTGTAAATAATTTTAATGTGTTTTTATCGCATTCTACATTTAATGTAAAAGTAAAAGTTATTTATTTATATAGACTATTTTTTGCTATTTAACGCGCCAATTTATCACTATCTATGCCGTCCAGTTTGAATGGCTATTTCAGTTAAAAATAACTAACAAGAAGTCACATGGTTTTTATTTAACATTTCATATAATATCAAATTTCATTAAGATCCGTTCAGCCGTTTAGTCGTAAAGAGGTAACAAACAGACAAACACTTTCGCATTTAATTAATGAAAGTCTACAATGTGTTTAAGCCTAGATGTATAGATTCGGAAGTTCTTGATATAATATATAATAGCATACATTAAACCGCTTATTATCGGATCGGCCGTATGCTGTTTGCCACCATCGTAGCATAAAAATTTAAGTAAACAAATTTCCCCATTAAGTAAAGCAGAAAAATTAATAATATTTTTTAAAGTTACTAAGTGATAATTATGTATAAGGGTTCATATATTTTATGACTATTTACGGGATCTATTTATGAACTTACTATGTTCTCTACTTCGGCGACATTTGTAAATAATTGTAAAATATTAGTTCAAAATGAACAATGTTAAGATATATGATAAAGGTGAC